TGCAGTAGCTGTGCTTGCATCTCTGACAGGGGATGATCGCCTAAACGGTTTTAACCCCTTGTGTGCTGAAACGGTCCGTTACATAACTCATGATAGCTATATAGAACAGTGGTAACACCTGGGAAACCGAGGTTTGTATCCCAGTCAGACCACCTCACCAGTAAGTGTACATGGATAAGACACCTAATAATATGAGATTTCCTGTGCACTACCCCAAATTCCTATGCATATTTAGACAAATGGTGTTTTACTCCAATTTCCATAAGGTGTAAGCCCACCTGCCACGTCAAGGCAGACATCTTAGGTGAGTCCTACCCTAAGAATTCACCTTGCTTCCTTCAGCTTAAGGCAAAATGAATCTCTAATGAGACAGAGGAGTATTTTTCTAAACTCTCACATACTTATCAACCCTTAATATGGAACACATGGGCTTGGCTGCAGCTCTGTAACACGGCTGTGTGATACAAAAGCAAATACAAATACACAAAAATAAGTCCTGTGCTCACACGTCCACTACTCCTGGGTGGCAGCAATGACCATAGTACACATCAAGATATGGAAGGGCTGCGCCAAATAAGGGTAGATAGTCCAGTAAAGTATTGCTAGGGTGCCAATAGATGGTCTAGGATACTTGATAGAGTTCCTCTGTGGATGCGTCTGGTGTAGACCGTTCCGTATATGTAAATACAAGAGAGGTAGAAGCGACTAATGGTATAGTATGAAAGTTCAGGGTGTGATAGGTAACAAAAAGTAAAGAACTCACATTCAGGAGAGCTATGGCCAGCTCTGGTGTGGATTGCGTACAGCGGTATAATCCCCGCTTATGGGATATGTAGGGAGGGGTCTCCGTCAGCACCGTCTAGTAGTCCAGAGCTCGAAAAAGAAAGACAGAAAGCAACAATAGTGCTCTCAATTTTGATGTGGTTCAATGTGCAGATAAGAAGAGGTAAAAAACTCACATTTGAGGGAGCTATGGCCAGCTCTGGTGTGGATAGTGTACAGCGGTATAATCCCCGCTTATAGGATATGTAGCGGCGATACGTCCGTCAGCACCGTCTGGTGATCCAAGGCTCCAATATAGAAGAATAAAAAGCAGCAATAGTGCTCTCAATTGTGATAGGTTAAGAGAGTAGTAGAGGAAATAAAATAATACTCACAAAGATAGAGCAGAGGTACTGCTCTATGGATAGGCGCCGGTGGTATGATCCCCACCTAGGATTTCTTGGAGTACTGGAACTTTAAAATTGCCAATGGAAGTAAAAGTAACCAGGAAAGGTTAAAATGCCAGGAATAGGTAAAAACAAAAGTTGTTTAAAGTGCATAAAGAGTGCAATAAAAAGAGGATTGGTATAATAAAGTAGCCAAAAAACTTTTATTGATCTAAAATACACAGTAAAATACAGAATTAATAACCATAAACGCGTTTCACCATAAGTGGCTTCTTCAGAATGGGAAGAAGCCGCCTTAATTAGCTTAGACTATATTAATAATCTGTGACACACTATTATATTTAAAACAAAGAGATTTTGGCTACTAATTACAATCCTCTTTTCTTTATACTATAACATTCCTGAATTACCCCATTCCGGCGCCTATCTATAGAACTACAACACCCCCAATGGCTATTAGGTGTTTAGAAAAATACCCCTCTCTGTCTCATTAGAGGTTTATCTGCCTGAAGCTGAAGGAAGCAAGGTGAATTGTTAGTGTAGGACTCCCCTTAGAGGTTTGCCTTGACGTGGCAGGTGAGCTTACACCTAATATTGGAGTGAAACAAAAAAGCTCCATTTGTCTAAATATGCAAAGAGATTTGGGGTAGGGGTCAGGTAACTCTTTTCCTTGTTTTGTATTGGGGCTGATGTGTACTATGGATAAACACAAAAAGAATTCAGC